AAATAAATAGTTATAAGCGTTTTTTGACGAACGAATTTTTTGTTAATTTTTGTGCAATGGATTTGCAGAAAGAGTTTCTAAAAAATATGAGTCACTCTTTTTAAAAAAAATAAAGAAAAGACTTCTTTTTAATAAAATCTTCTGTAGTATTCATAAAAGCAGCCACCACTTCTGGAATTATGATGTTCTTCTTAAAAATAGGCCATTTTTAGAAGAGACTGATGTAAGTAGACAGATGGTTAAAACTATTTACATAGAGAACTAAGTTAATGAGTCTAGATTTAATATACAGAGCAGGCTATGATACTCTTCGCAACTGTGAAAGCCAAGCATATAGTAAGCGAAACTACAAAAGAACTACATTTCATTATCTCATATCAAGAAAGCTTTGTAAGAACCAATTCACAAAACATTATTAATTCAGATTTTTACTATAACTAATAGTCAATATATCTAAAGCTATTTCTACTTTCACATCTACAAACACTAAACTAAAGGTGAGAAAAATACACATTTTTTAAAAAACTGCATATGAATGCATATGATTGTGCATTTATGCATACTTTTTGTTTCATAAAATTTAACCTAATTTTAAATTATTATTCAATTATTTGTATACATTATAAGGATAATATATTTGTATTTTTAGGCTTAAGACATAATAAAAATTTGGCACAAAAGCTATTACATAGGTCCAGCCAGCATTATGTTGATGATGAGCCAAAATTATCTTAATTCTAGCTGAATTAATTATTAACTAGCAATAAAAAAATGTGCATTTTTTGCTATACTAAGTTCAATCTAATTTTGAATTTTTTTCTATTACTTATATTATAAAGTAATATACTTGATCTTTAGACTTAGTCATACTAAGAAGTGGTTATAAAAATTATTCTATAATTGTAGTCCAAATTATATTGATTATAGGTCAAAATTAGTAACTGAAAAATCCATATTTTTTTTGCTAAACTAAAATCGATTTAATTTAAATTACAAAGAATTATATGTGTAATTTTTTTTAGATTTAATATATATTAAATTAGTTGTTGATTTTAATTATTATAAAATACTAACTTTTGGGTTTGGAAATTATTTGTAATTAATATATAAACTTGTATTTTATGTTAAAAATTTTATTATTTAAATAATATATATATAGGTATAAAATAATAGTTATAAAATAATGAATATATTATAATTTATAAATTTTAAAATGTTATTTTACTATTATCTTATAATATAATGGGTTAATAAATAAATGCATAGTAGTTCTTAATATTACAAAAACTATAGTTTTAGTTTTTTGCTTCATTCTTAAAAGTTTTATTATACCAAAAGTTCTGCAATATTAATTTATAATAAATTAGATATTATAGTAAATTTTAATTTAGTTTTATTATAATTTTTTATAGTAATGCCTATTATATTGATAGTTTATTATATTGAGAACCACTACAAAAAAAAAAAAGTTATTTTATATATTTAATTGTTAGTTTTTTTGTTAAAAAAATCTTCTGAAATTTTATTTATAAAACTATTTTCATTATTAGTTTCAAATATTTTTCTTTAAAATTCTTTATATTACTTTTTGCAAAATATTCAGTATTATTTTTTTCAAGTTCTTCATTATTGCTTCTTTTAAAAATTTCTTTATTTTTAAGATATTGAGTAAAATTATTTTTTATTTCTTGTAATTTAATTCTAATTTATTATTTAAATTAAAATAATTTGATTTAATTTTTAGTTAATTATAAATAATTATTATAAAGTAAAGTCAAACTTTATTTAGTAAGTTAATTATTAACTTTCATTTTTTGAATTATCTTTTAAAATACTATTTAAACTAATATCTAAATTATTATCTAATTTTTTATTAAAATTATTTTCAAAATTACTATTAGTATTATTATTAGAATTGTAATCAAAATTATTTTCAAAATTACTATCAAAGTTATTATTAGAATCTTTATCAAAATCACTATTAGAGCTTTCATTACTATCTTCAGAATTATCTATTTCAAATAAATTTTCAAATCTATTATTTAAATTATCTGAGCCTTCTTCTAAATTATTATTATCATTATTTATATCTTTATATTTATAAATCTTATTTGCTATGTGTGATATTTGTAATCAATAATTATTATAAATATAAACTAATTTAAAAACTTTATTTGAACTAAGTCTATTTCTCTTTTTATTATAAATAAAAGAAAAATTAAACTAATTTCTTTCTGATAATATTGGAATTGATAATATTTAGCATGTTAATTTTGTTAACTCAGGTGTAGCTTCTTGAAAATTTCCTGTTCATTATGTAGTAGGATTAACTTAATTTATAGAATACCAAGCTAACTTGTTATTAAATAGTTCATTTTTAGTTTTGTATTTAAGAATTTGTTGCCAAATAATTTATGAATTATTATTATAATATTTAGTAAGAAAAGTTAAAAATAGTTGTTATATGTTATTAGATAATCTACATTCCATAACTTGAGAATTAAAGAAATTAGCTACTTCAATAACTAGATAATATAGTTTAGGCTATTTATTTTTTAATATTTTTAATATCAAATTCTATTTAATTAATTAAAATTAAAATTACAAATTTTATAAATTAATGTTTAATAAATTAGTAAAAATAGATTTTTTAAATATAAGTAATTCTTATTAATATCAATTCTGTTAATATTAATCTAAGCTATATAGCAAATATTTATTAATTTTTATATATTAAAATTCTTTTATATATATTAATTTTAATATAATTTTTTATTAATACAAGCTATTGTTAATAGAAATTAGACAAATTAATATTTTAAAAAAATCAACACCTTAACTTATATAATGTATATCTTAATAAATTTTGAAACTAATTTAATAATTTAATAATATAAAAAGCTTAAACTTTAAAAACTCTTTAAATATTAAATAACTTTTTTTTTTTTTTAAATATTGATGGTGAGGCCATGCCTTTAACTTTATTGAAATTCAATTGAAGTTTTTACAAAGAAAAGCTTGCTTTTAAATTACAT